GCTGAAGTAGGCCTTATGCCAGCACGGGAAATGACAGTCCATTCTAACCCTAGCCTCTCTCTCTTTTTTTCTTCCTTTTTTCCCTTTCTTTTTAATTTTTATTAACATATAATGTATTATTTGTTTCAGGGGTACAGGCCTGTGAATCATTAGTCTTACACAACTCACAGCACTCACCATAGCACATGCCCTCCCCAATGTCCATCACCCAGCCACCGTATCACCGTATCCGTACTCTACCCGCCACGCCCCCCGCCCCCCAGCAACCCTGTTTGTTTCCTGAGATTAAGAGTCTCTTACAGTTTGTCTCCCTCCCTGGTCCCATCTTGTTTCATTTTTTCCCTCCCTGCCCCCCATGCCCCCTCACTCTGCCTCTCAAATTCCTCATATCAGAGGGATATGATAATTGTCTATGTCTAATGGACTTATTTCGCTTAGCATAATAACCTCTAGTCCCATCCACATTGTTACAAATGGCAAGATTCCGTTTTTGTTTTGTTTTGTTTTGATGCCTAGGTTCTCTTTTAAATTCCAAATAGATATTGGACAGCTCCCATCTTAGAGCAGTAAAATTTGGAGATGGTGACGAGGATGGTGGTGGTGACAATAATAGATTCAGTATCAGGTACCATGGTATGGTGGGGGCAGACTTTAGCAAAGAGCTGCCATTTAGAGCAGGCCATGATGGAAACTGTGGCAGAGGGCAGATTAAAGACTTAAGGAATATGGTTAAGAAAGTTCAAGGAGGTAAGGCAGGGCATGGAGCCTTCATACCATTCTGAGAAGCTCAGACTTTATGGACAATGGTTGGTCATGAAGAATTGTGAGGAGGGCAATCCATGACATAAGCTTCCTTAAGTTTTAGAAGGCATCTATAGGGACACCTGGGTGGCTCAGTTGGCTAAAAGTCTACCTTCAGCTCAGGTCATGATCCCAGGGTCCTAGGATCCAGTTCTAGATCAGGCTTCTTGTTCAGCAGGGAGCCTACTTCTCCCTTTGCCTGCTGCCTCCCCTGCTTGAGCTCTTTCTCTCTCTGACAAATAAATAAGATCTTAAAATAAATAAATAGATGGAACTGTGCTGTCTAAAACAGTAGCTACTAGTCACATGTGGTTATTAAGCTTGTGAAAGGTAGCTAGTAGTTTAAATGTAAGTGTAAAATATACACTGGATTTTGAAGACCTAATACAAAAATATGTAACAATACTTCAATAATTTTTATGTTGATTATGAGTTGAAATGAAAATATTTTGGATATATTCAACTCAAGAAAGTATATTATTAAAATTAATTTCATTAGTTTCTTTTTAATTTTTAATGAAGCTATTAGAAAATTTAAAATTACCTACATGGCTGACTTTCTACTTTTATTGGACTGTGCTGGTGTAGAGGCTGGCTTGAGGAAAGAAAGAACTGAAGACCAGGAGAAAACAGAAAGTTAGAGTAAAATCCTAAGACAGAGGAGGATGAGGGTCAGATCTAAGGCAGTGACTCTGGGAATAAACAGGAGACAACGGGTGAAAAGGCTTTTAAAATAGGACTTTGCAATGATTTTTCTGGATGTAGGGATTAGAAAGAGGGAAGAGACAGGGTTGCATGTTAAGTGTTTCGTCTGGGTGACGGAGAAGATGAGGAGGATGGTTTTTGGAGCTTGATGCTTATGGGTTTCAGTGTGGACCTGCATTAGTAGGAAGCAATGGGGGAATTCAGATGAGAAGTTCCAGAGAGAACGGAGTTGATTCAGGAGTCAACAAGCAAGAGGTGACAGATGAAGCAGAGAAATGGGTGAGATCTTTGAGGAGGGAGGGTGGAATGAGAATGAAGCACAGGAAATTGGGGTCATGATGGAGCTTCCTTCTTAGAATTTAAGACATGGGCAGGAGAAGAGAGGTTGGCTGAGCTTGACTGAGGCTGGTCAGGGAGGACCCAGGAGATCCTGGTACCATACAGACCAAGGGAGATCTTTCCAGATGGAACACGTTTACAAATTCAGGAAGCGGAGGTTCCTGGCCAGGCTGTCTCAAGGAAGCCACCAGGTGGTGTTTGTTGGGAGTAAGGCTTTGATGAGTCACCAGAAGGCAAATGCTAGCAGGGAGTAAAGGGGAGGAAAGGGAGACTCCTGGGGGAGGGGAGAACACTTTGAAGAGGTTTGCACACTAGAGAAGGCTGGTGGGGACTGGAACGGTGCCTAGGGAGAGCCAGCACAGGGCTGAGGGCAAGAATTGTTAGGCAAAGGGTGAAGGAGGGAGAGAGTGAAGACAGAAGAAGGAGTGATGAATTGGGGACAGGTGTGTGAAAATAACACATCTGTTAGTCTTCCATCCATTTTTCTCCAAATCCTTAATAGCCACATCTTCCAAAGTCCACCTCTAGGGTCCAACCTTTCCGCAGGCTCGGTCCAGGTCAGATGGGAGAGGGCGCAGGCAGCATTCCAGCATTGATTGCTCTTGCAGTCCACTGTCCCCCATGGGCTTGGACAGCACACCTCCCCTGTAGTCCTGCGGCTTGGGAGGCCTTCCGCTCCCGGGATCTGTGAACGTCCTCTCCCGAGGGCCTGCCTGAAAGCCCAGACCTCTTCTACTCTGACACTTAGCACCTCTGCCCAGAGCCCACGCAGGAGAGAGGCCCCGCGTCCCTCCCGAATCCCGAGCTTGGGTTCGGGCTGCAGCGCCCGGCCTTCCCCGGCAGGGGCGCTGGGAACCCGCGGATGGCCGGCTCCCGTCCAGCGCCCGATCCCCACGCCCACTTCAGCCTTCGGTGTCACAACTTTTCTTGGGGCGTTCCGCCGCCAGCGGTCTTTGGAAACCCGGACTCCAAGACCCGCCTCATTCTGGGCTGTCTCCGGCTTGGTTCTCTGGCCCAGCCTCCTCGGTTCCCAATTTCCGAAGCTCCGGTTGGAAAAGCATGTTCGCCAGGTTCGGGGCTCCCGGGGAACCGGCTCGGATTCCCAGGCCACCCCGGCCTCCTCTATCCTTCTTGGCCCTCCCCTCGCGCATTTTCGTCTCTTTTCTCTCGCCTTTCTCTTTGCCCCATTATCTCGCCTTCCCTCCTCCATCTAATGTTTCCTTTCTTCTCTCTTTCCCCTTTTTCTCTTCGCCTCCGTTCCCTTCTTACCTTCGCCGCGCCTTTCTCCTCTCCCCTCTTTCCGCGTTTCCGTCCCTCTGGCTATGCTTTAACCGTCACCCGCAAAAAAAACCCTCTTTCTCTAATCCCGAGGAGGAGAGGAAGGAGTTTCGGGCCTCACGCTCTCCAAGCCCCCTTTCCCTATCCTCGTTTCTTAAGAACCCCTTCTCCAGCTCCACGCTTCTCGCCTTTCCAACCGCCAGAAATCACGGGAACTTCTCGGAGGCGGCGGGCGGCACTACGCGCCGCCGGGGCCTGCAAACCACATTTCCTCGTCCTCGAGTTTAGCTTTCATCTCTCCAAAGTCTCCCTTTTCCTACAGGGCTCCAAGGGTCCTAGCCCAGATTGCGTCCCACGCGCCCAGGCTGCGCTTCTGGTACGGCGTCGGTGGGGGGCGCTGATAAACCCACGCTGCGCCAGGGGTCCTCTCAGGGGCAGTCGACGCTTTGAAGGAACAACTAAGCCCGCTCAGAAACGAATCTAGGAAGAATGAGGGCACGACCTCAGTCTCAAGCTAGAAGATGGGGGCTGGATTCCGCCCCCGCCGTGGGAACGACCGATCGCCACTGTCTTTCCTAAGCTCCTACCAAGGGTCCCAGGAAGGAGAGCCGTGGATCGGGGGAGAGCTGGCAATCCCCTGACCCGGCCGCCGGCGCCTCCCTTTGCTCTCCCCTCGCCCTGCAGGAGGCTTAAGGAATAACCAGGTTCCATCCGCCCGCGGTGGGGGAGCATGGGTGCGCGGAGCGTCAGGAGGAGGGGGCTACCCAGGGCGGTCTGCCTTCTCAATATTGCCTTTCTGAGGACTCGCAGGCTCAGGAAATGCAAACACAGCCCGTGCGTGATCGGCGCGCGCCCACGGCCCGAGCGGACCCCTCCCTGCCCCACGCCCCGTGGCTCACACTAACACGCACACACACGCGTGCAAACGCGCACGCACAGAGCCGCGCGCCCCCGCACACCGAACCAGCCCCGGGCTCCGCCAGGTGCCCCCACCCTGCGGCGCCCGCCCGCCCGCCAGCCAGCCCCTGGCGCACCCCTCGCTTCACCCTCTCACGCCTGCGCGCACGCACGCGCGCGCACGCAGTCCCCGCGCCCCCGCACCGGGCGGGGGCGCAAGCCGTGAGGGGCTGAGGGGCTGAGGGGCGGGGGGGCGGCGGGGGGGCGGGCCCGGGAGCAGCCAGCGGAGTCCCGGGTCCATCCCGCGCTCGGCTTCCGCGCGCTGCCTCCCCACGCGAAGGCTCTGGTCTCCTCCTCGGTTTCCGAACCCGAACAGTTGGCGCTGAAAACACTTTACTCCTCCTCCTCCCTTGAGACCCCCCCCCCTCCCTGCACGCCATCTCCCGTTCCCCACAACAGGCCGGAAGAGTAAACCCCCAAACGCGGCCAGAAGCGGCTCCCAACTCTTCGGCGGGAGCAGGTTGGAGGCTGGATTTCGGAGAGACTCTGGATTGGGGTCCGTCGCCAGCCCCTCCTCCTGGATCCGGTTTGATTTTCATGTTTTAAAAGAGGATTTTTCTCATTACCTTTGAACACTCCTTTTAACAAAATTTCTGGAGGAGCTCGGTGAGGAAGATTTGGGGGGGGGTCTTGTTTTAAGGGGGAAAAAGCACCGAGGGGGCATTTATTAATTTTTCCCGGGTGTTGGAATCACCCTTTTTCGGAAGAGAGAGCGAGCGATCGAGAGCGTGGAGGGAAGAGTGGAGAGGACCCGCGAGGCGCGCCAGCCCGAGCCACCTCCTTCCCGGCCGCCCCCTCCCCACTCCCCCCGACACACACTCGCTCGCTGGCTCGCCGGCGCGCGCACACCCCCCGCTCCGGACCCGCACCTCGGCGGGCGCCACACTCTCGGCAGCCCGAGCCGCGGCAGCCGCAGCGGGATGGAGGCAGCGCGCACCGAGCGCCCCGCAGGCTGGCCCGGGGCGCCTCTCGCCCGGACGGGGCTCCTGCTCCTGTCGACGTGGGTCCTGGCCGGCGCCGAGATCACTTGGGGCGCGACGGGCGGTCCTGGGCGCCCTGCGGCCCCGGCTTCGCGGCCGCCGGCGCTTCTTCCTTTCTTCCCGCGGGCAGTGGTAAGCCAGTGGCCGGAGGAGCTGGTGACGGCGCGGAGAGGCGCCGCACTGGGGCGCCGGCCCGGACCAGAGCCTCTGCCCCAGCCAGGCGGCGGCAGCGGCAGCGTTGGAAAGAAGCAGGGAGAAGCCGGGGGACCATCGCCGGCAGGCGCGCGGTGGGGACCAGGCACCCCGGCTCCGGGCAAGCCTGGCGGCGCGAGGAGGAGTCGCCGGGAGCAACCCCCCAGTGCCCTGGAACGTGGGGACGCCCGGGCCACTGCCTTGGCCGATGGTTCCAAAGGAAGCCGCCCTGTGGCCAAGGGTCTCCGGGAGGAGGTGAAGGCGCCGCGGACCGGGGGGGCGGCGGCCGAAGAGCTCCGGCTGCCCAGCACCTCGTTCGCGCTGACCGGGGACTCGGCCCACAATCAAGCCATGGTGCACTGGTCGGGACACAACAGCAGTGTGAGTACCCGCCCCGCGGCGGATCTGTGTGTCTCCTGACAGCAGGGCAGAATGGAGGGCGGGAACCGGGGACAGATAGTTGCTCGAGGGTCGAGGCAGAGGCGGGGGCGTCCTGACTTGTAGAGAGAACAGATTCATCCGGCTTCCCCCACGCCCCCAACAGGTTAGCGGAGTTTGTTGTAAGATGGAGTGTACGTTTGTTTGCTGGAGACCCTAGATTTGGGGCCGCCCGGATGGGAGAGGGGAAGTGTTTTAAAGATGAGCAGGGGAGGGATCTGTGGTCCCTTTCCCTGGTACTCGGCCCTGGGAGTCAGTTTTCCGGTCGGGAGCTTGGATTCGTGGGTGAGGACGCGGCCTGAATTGGCGAACTGACGGATTCCTGCGACCGCCAAGCTTCCCCCCTTCTGCCCTCCACTCAACTGAAAGGGAACCCAGGAGCTGGAGACCGCTCGGACCCCCAGACTCCTGCCGGCCTTACGGTCGCTGCTTTCTGCTCCAGGCGCGCTTTCTCCCAGCCCGGGGGGAGGCTGCGCCTAGTCCGCCCGAGCGCGGGCCTTCAGGTCATGCTGAGCCCCCTTCGAAACCCAGGCAGCTGCTTGGAAAACTACAGCAGAGGCAGTTTAAAAAAAAAAAAAAAAGTTTAAAGCGTGAAGTGAAATTCACCGTCCATTCCTCACCCCTCACCCTTACGCATGCACCAGCACACCTAAGTCTCTGAGCAAAAACAAAAACAAAAACAAAAACAAAAAACAACTCGCCTCGGCCGCTGCGTCCCACAGCACAAACGGCTCCCGGAGAGGAGTTGGGTCCCTGTGCTTTCTGCGCACCTCTCCACCCGCTTTCTCTCTGCGGCCGGGTTCCCCGGAGAGCAGCTGTACCGACAGGTGGCGCCCTTGAGTCCACTCCGGCGGCCCCGGAGCACTGGCGGCGGGGCGTCGGGCTCGGAGCACCGGCGGCCCGGACAGCTACTGCAGCCGGCAAAGCGTGCCTCCAGCCAGGCCCCAACGCCGTGCAGCCACGCCAAGAAACGGCTGGTATTGCGGTCTCTGGCGGAGGTGGTGGGGGGGGCGGCCTCCCGCGATCTGCCCCCACTTACCTCCTGTCCACGGCCCCCCACTTTCAGCCAGTCTTGCAAAAATCCTTTCCGCTTCTCTGGCTCTCCGGATCAAATCAGAACCCGCCGCTGGGCAGGGTCTGGAGGGTGATGGATGTCTATAGGCAGATTTGGGGAACTCATTTGATCGGAAAGCACCGCCCCTCCCCTTTGTGTTTCTCTTATGATTGGCATTAAAGATTTCCCTGGAAAATTCTAGCCTTATTTTAAATGGGGTCTGGGGGTGTCACAGGGGTAAGGAGTGAATAACAGGAAAGCCACGAGTCCGCAGAGCGTAGACGTTGGCGCTGCTCATGCAGATTTCCTGGTTCTTATGACACACAGTACGGGGCGGGCAGCCCAGGCAGGGTACAGAGGCCGGGGTGGAAGGATGTGTGCGGTCCGGCTCCCCAGCGGTGCAGTGGCTGGCGTCATCTGCCTCCATCGAAGACCTCCATGGCTTCGGAGCGCACAACTCTGGGCAGGGGGAGGGGGTGGGTATGGCGTGCCCTGGCAGGGATGGGTGATTGAAGACTTGCAAGTCCCCAGAGGAGAGACGGAGAGGGAATTCTCTGACAGCAGGTGGTGTGAATCTCAACTAAGTTTTAGTTTGATAATGAGGAAGTGTGTGTGTGTGTGTGTGTGTATGTGTTCACGTTCACACTGGGCAAGAAGAATGTGTGGAAGTGAATGTATGTCTAGGAGGAGGCGGTGCTGTCCTCACATATCTATGACTTTATTACTGTCACATTTGGACAATATAAATTCACTCTGCCTAAAGAGTTTTCTTCTGTCTGTGCTTTAATTTTATGGATCATTTTTTCGTGTGTTGACTTATCGATGGCACTTTAAAGAGGATCCTTTTTGCAAACAGTAACATGTGCATGGCCATCTCTGGTCATCTTCCAGGCAGATGTGCAGCAGAGGAAGTGAGGGGACAAGTCTAGCCCTAGCCAACCCCCCAGGGGAAATGGCTTATAGTTGAAAGAGGGGCAGAAGCTCCTGGGGGTGGGGATGGACCTGTTGGCCTTGGAGCCCTTAGGGACAGCAGTGAGATTTGGGCAATCCAGGAACAGCTCTCAGGATGCTTACTGGTTGTGTTCTTGGCCAGTCTTAACTGTCCAAGCAAAGGACAAGGCAACACACGTTGGGTACAGGGACCCCATCTTGTTGTCCTGTCCTTCCTTTCTGGGGGAGAGGCACTACCTCCTGGGACCATACTGTATAGACAGTATCAGCAGGAAAGGCTTCATTGAGGATCAGGTCTGTGCTGCTCTGAGGGAAGAGGGGGAAACATGGTCATGTGGTCCTGTCTTTGAGAGACTTTAAGGAAATACCCTGTGGGAAGAACGGGGAAACCAGTATCTGCAACATTACTAAGTTGGTTTTATTCCCTGTCCCCCTTTCCTGAAGACAACGAAAGAAGATGCTGTAAATAAAAGCATCTTGTAAATATCATGTAAATAAAATAAAAAAAAATAAAATAAAAGGGTGAGGAGTGATGGGGATGATGAACTTTCTGGAAGCTTCCCTCATCATTGGTTTCAAAGTGGAGGGAGATATCCTGGCACTAGGCTCTTTTGGCATGAAAAGAGAATTCCCTCTTCTCTTCTGACTTTCAAAGCACTAAACATGTCCTTTTCTGGGAAGGCCACCAGTTTAATTGTGAACACATTGGGGTTTCCTGGCCTCCTTCCAAGTGCCTTTGGGGGACCTCATCCTTGACTTGAATTCCCATTGGGGGAGGGTTTTCAGTCAGTCCATATAACTGAAATCAAAGTCCACTCTGACATTTTGACATGCAGAGCTGGACATGGTCTGCTCCATTTGTCCAGGTGTGCCCAGGGATGTCAGGGGGCAGAGGGAAATCCTTGTCCAAGGCTGTAGTCATGGATTCACTTTGGTTCAAGAACTGTGGTCAGATAGCTTGGGGGGCAAAGAAGGAAGTGCCCAGAAGGCTTGAGCCACGAGCTGTCAAGAAACTGCTGGAGACTGGATCCCTCTCTGACCCTTACTGCCCTGCCAGAGGTTCTGGGGAGATGTGAGGGGACTTGAGCTTGGAACCTCTCCTCTAGAGGGACATTTGCCATCCTCTCTCTGGCAGTCTCCAGCTGGGCTCCTGGTGATTAAGGGGCAAGAGAGTGTTTCACAAACACCCAGAGGGAGTTCCATCCCCAGGGCATGCAGGGAAACAGAAAAAAGAAACATCATTCTGCCCTTCTCCTTCCAATGAAGGAGGATGCCTTCTGTTTGCTCTGTGAATTGGCAAAGCATGGCTCTGGAGACTGGAAAGTTGTGAAGGCGACGGTCCACTTCTCCATGCCCCCTCCTCCTTGGAGTAACCCTGGCCAGGAATCCCCCTTCCTGGTGCTGAGCTGAGAATGCTGATGTCTCCCTCGTTGACCCCCCTTTCTTGCCAGCAGCTCACTGGCAGTGGAGCACGATTTGCAGGCTTCTACCCCTGCAGTGTGTGTCTGGTTGGAATGACTTGCCAGATACTTTTCAATTAATGTGCCCAACAATGCACCTTGGTGAAGAGAAGCAGGGGATGCTGATGATTCCCGGTCCTCTCCGGATACCCCTTCCCTAGCACTCCAGGAGGTGGAATACACAGATGTTCCCAGGCGGGATTTCATAACTTTAACTAATTCAGCTGGACTGTGTTCTAAAATATTTACTCCTAATGTGCAAAATAGTGACAGCTTTGATCAGATTGATTGTATTTCACTCACTGGAGCAGCTAATTGTGGCTCTCAAACAGATTTTTCAAATGGCTTTTGGCTGGATTGTCTCGCCTTCATCCTCCCTGCTCACAATTCTTGTGTCACAATATCTTAATGCATTTTGCCTTCTCAGAGGCTTAATAAAGAAGTCTGCCACTGAAACTGTTCTTCCGGGGTTTGCCAAAAAGAATCTGTTTTTAATTAATATTACAAGGGGAGCCTTTCCTTTGGGATGGAGCTGGGACAGAACAGTCACTGTTGGCCTGGGGTTGGGGGTGGGGTGGGGCGAGGAGGGGTCTGGACTCAGGCTATTTGTCTCTATTTGTCTGCTCTGCATTTCTTCTGATGGCTGGGTTACAGGGTGTAATTTGCTTCTCAGATCCTGTGGTGATTTCCAAGGTGAGCAGAATTTGCAAACTCCTTAATTGGGAGGTCTGATTTAATGATTGCAGAGATGCAGTGGTTGGAACTTGCTTGGTAGTTGGCAAAGAAGGAGTGCTGGGAAGTGGCTTCCTCAGTTGTGTTGGATTTAAGAGAAGGGGGGGCGGGTTGTGGCTCCAGTGGCAAGAAGGCTCAGGGGGCACAGGGGAGAACTGCTTTTTCCTCAGGCTGTGTAAATCTCTTATTGTCACTGGGGAGTTTTGGAACTGGATGATGGGTGGGGCCTGAATCACCCCTTAAGGAGCAGAGAGGTGCACAGAGCCAGACCTGCTGAGTTAGGGGCTGTGCCAGGGGTTCATCCAAGGCTAGGTACATCTGAGGGCTGGTGGCTTGACTCACCTGTTGATTTCCTGCTTTCTTTGGCCTCTGGGCAGGCTTGAGACTTTCCTTACAGCGGGAAAACGTCGAAGGGTCATTTTTCAGCAAGCTTGGGAGGAAAGGGGTCTTATGGAGTTGGAGGTGGAAATATGGGATGTGAGCATCAGCCTGCCACCTTGGGTGGGAGGAACCGGCATGGGGGGAGGGGGTGGGTGGAAGCTGACAAGCCATGCTCATCTCCTGGTGTGGGGGATGACAGAGAGAAGGGTCTGCATGGTGCTCTGGTTTTGCCCACAGTGAGTGAAGATAAGAGGGCTCTGCCTCCCATGGAGGAGGGACTCAGCCTTATTCCACCAAGTGGGTGAAGAGTGACAGCCTCAAGTCTTCTTGAGCGGAAGCGACCAAGGAATTAGAAGTTCTTGTCC